CAGAATGCACCACCAGAATGCACCCAGCGGAATACAACCACCAGAATGCACTACCAAAATGTACCACCAGAATGTACCACCTGAATGTACCACCAGAATGCACTACCAGAATGCACTACCAGAATGTACCACCAGAATGTACCATCAGAATGCACCACCGGAATGTACCACCAGAATGCACCACCAGAATGCACCACCGGAATGAACCACCAGAATGCACCACCGGAATGCACCACCGGAATGTACCACCAGAATGCACCACCGGAATGCACCACCGGAATGTACCACCGGAATGCACCACCAGAATGCACCACCAGAAAGCAACCACCAGAATGCACCACCAGAAAGCAACCACCATAATGCACCACCAGAATGTACCACCAGAATGCACCACCAGAAAGCAACCACCAGAATGCACCACCAGAAAGCAACCACCATAATGCACCACCAGAATGTACCACCAGAATGCACCATCAGAAAGCAACCACCATAATGCGCCCCCAGTGTGGGAAAGTGACGATTCCTCAGAGTGCATTCTCCAGGTTGAGAGTGGCTTCCCCTTCCTATCCCCCCTCCCCACACCCGATCTCTCCTGAGAATGCCGGTAACCTCCTCCCTGCCCCCCCCCATACATATTTCCATATTTCCAGCACAGTCGATCGGTTATCCGGCCGCTTTGGGAGGGGGCGCCAGATTTTTAAAAAAGGCAGGATAATCACTAATCATCATCATCATTATTAAAAATATCTTATATTTGCACAGTCTTATATAACATGTTTTTAGGTGTTGCGTGTATGTTTTTTTTTCTGTTTTAAATGTGTTTACTATATGGAATAGGCATAAATGAACATACAGATAAAAATAACAATAAATATCGTACTTTAAAAAAGTCATTGTATTTACCGTACCATACTTACCACTCCAATCTCGAAGAGCTTTGCAAGGGTTGACGTATGTACGCTGCAGTATTTTAATTGTTTACGTTGTATGTAGTGTATCATGTACCGGATATAATATCTGACACTGCAATCAAGCGTAGCTGCTTTTTTTTTATTATCACACGCACGTGGCTGTGCCGATCGCCGGACTGGTTGCAGCCTTTAGAGCGACTTTGCCGGTTTCGCCGGATCGAAACAGGGGACCGCCGGATAATGATGGAAGCAGCAGCAGCAGTCGGATTATTCGCGCGGTGCCCGATAATTAATCGATGATCGACTGTGTCAGCTCCCACTCACGGAATATTCTACCTCCCCCCCCCCACACACATCGACACGGTCAAGCGCCCAAAGTCATCCCGCTCGCTCCACCACCGCCGGTTTTTCTGTGCCCCCACGTCCCCAGGAACCATCGATGCGTTACGACCGCGCGCGAAGTGCTCGCCACAAAATAAAAACACAACTACAAAAGAGAGTTGCTTCCCCACAGACCGCTGATGATGAAATGTTGTTCAATCGTCATATTGATTAGCCGAGCTTACGCCATCACTGCAGATATTAAAGCTGCTTATTCAGAATTTTAGAGCAGTGTCATTTTACGACCAAACGTTGCAATGAGTGATGGAATCTTGGCAAAAGGTAAATACACATTTTTAGTTTTTTTCGCGTTTTTTAAAAGTAGGTTGAAAGCATTGTCATTTGCTCTATCAATCCACCCTAGGGGAGGCGTGATAACTGATTCAATCCCAACAAAACTTCATGCCAAAGCTGTGTTGGTTGTTATTCGGGACTCACAATATTGAAAACTGGCCACCTCCGATTAGCACGGTTAGCTACGTATGGTGCAAAAGAAGTTCAACATTCACACATATAACCCCGCCTCTGATTAGCACGGTTGCCTACGTCCGGTGCGAAAGAAGTTCAACATTGACACACACACACATACACGCACACACTGATCAAAGGCTTTCCCAAAACATTTAGAAGAAATCGGAGCTCTCTTAGGCCTCACTTTTAGCGTCCCGACTCTGCCCACCTTGGCCGCGTCTTCGTCGGCAGGGCCGCACGTCGCGGCCTTTGGAGAGGCTGCTTCCTGTGCGCCTCGCACGAGAGCGAACGTCGCTGTCGCTAATTGTACTCTGTATGTATGTCGAACTTTTCCTGCCGTACGTAGCCAACCGTGCTGATCGGAGGTGCGTGGCGGAGGACAACGAACTAAGTATAAAATCAGTTTTAGCGTCTCTGCTGTTCTTGCAGTGTACGAACTCCTCGCAACATTCACCCCCCCCACTACCCCCCCCCCCTCTCTGATTTATTTAACTGCCCTAACCCTGGTCTCCCTCCCACTTCAGTAAACATTTCCTTGCTGTGGTTGTCACACCTGATGATGATGATGACGATTGCTTGTGTTGCAATCGAAACGACGTGATTTTATTTTTTTCACCTACGTGACTTTACCGATAGAACCAAAGAGTATAGTTTTAAAGAAATTAGTTTGTCAATCTAGATGATGATTTGAAAGTGCATAGCTCCCAGTGCATACCTAATATCGGAAGGAAGAGCGTTCCAGACGGCCGCAGAAGCGCATCCGAAAGCACGCGATGCGGTGACCCTTTTTGTATAATGGCCAACCAAAATCCGGTGCGAGGATGATCGGAGTTTGCGTCATGATGGTTTATGTTGTGGTTAGTTTGTGGGAAGCACTTTTGTGTAATGAGTGTAACCATATAATGTATGCGTTCAGCAACCAGGAGCCAATTCATCTCAGCGAGCACTGGACAGACATGGTCGGATCTTGCAATAGCCGTCACCAGTGTGTGCTAGATATTTTATACTCCATGTTGATGCATATGCCGAGCTGCCGAAAGTGGCCCAGGGATATTGCAGAGTTTGGGCATTTAGCTACTGAGGATGCACACTGGGGACATAACGTGAGCCTTACTTAAAGAAAATGAAGTTGATGGCAGCGTATTCTTGGTTCTTTCGGTAAAGTCACGTAGAAGGGAAATAATAAAATAATACAAATGAAACATAATATTAAATTCTCACGACGTTTCGGCCACAACGCGAGCAGCCGTCCTCAGGTGAAGAACAGAGCTGTCGGAAAGACGCGGGCGCATGTTCCGACAGCTCTGTTCTTCACCTGAGGACGGCTGCTTGCGTTGTGGCCGAAACGTCGTGAGAATTTTTTGTATGTTTTATTTTCATTATTTCCCTTCTACGTGACTTTACCGAAAGAACCAAGAATATGAATCCCTGCAGTCACGAAAGCTTTAAATCGAAATTTGATGGCAGCGGTTAGGGATGATGGGGATTGTGTCCGTAGGGAGGCAGACACGTGGAGGTCATTGAAAACTCAGTGAAATGAGGCAGTAACGTGCATTATGCATGCGGTTATGTGACAGATGTATTACGTTAACTGGTCGGGGGGGGGGTGGCATGTTTTAGATTGTCTACATGCCCCACTTTGGGAGAGCAGAGAGGTCACCTTTTGTGTTTAAGAGACGGATGTTTTCGGCAAGAGCGATGGCTTTGTAATTTATTGCTGTGCGGTAGCTGGCACAGGCACTCTGAACATGCGCGGGGAGAGAGGGGGGAAGAGTTTTACCAATATGGGGAAAAATAAAGAATGCAAATATTGGGCTCCTACAAATCTCTTCACGAAACGCTAAATGCACAAATCTGCCAACACTAAACAGCGCTTCCGTGGTGAACCGTGTTCGGTAGTCGTGGCGGGTGATTGTTGCCATTGTGGTTGCATTAGCACGGATGGCTACGCACGGTGCGAAAGAAGTTCAACATACTTGCATTTTTGGAGTGCGTTGGCTGTAGGTGCGGTGTTGCTGTGGATCCGGCATTGTGGTCATTATTGCTGTCCACGGTGGTTGCGGCGTTGTTGAAGTGGTAAATAGCTGTGGCACTTGTGATTGTGGTGATTGTTGTACGTATACAGTACATGCATGTACGCTAAACTTATATCGCACCGCACGTAGCCGACCGTGCTAATCGGAGGTGCGGGGGCCTTTTTTGCTCTCAACACGACACATCGTAAGATTTGTAGCGAAGCGTGGATCGTAATCGGAGGCCGTTCCCTGGTCCAGCTGGCACCTCGGGCGACCCCGCGCTGACCCGAGCGTGACGACGCGCGGGCAAAACTCGGCCCCTCGTGTCCGTCGCGCAATCGATGGCTTTGGCGAAAGTAGGTGGGGAAGCCTGAGGTGGTGCGATGAGAATCACCGCCTGCGAGTCAAGGCCATGGTCCGCCCGTTTGACGACGATTGTAACGCTTGCGACGTTGAGAATCGAGAGGAGCGCAGCGCCTGTGATCGTGCAGCCGTCTCGCGTGGCACGTGGCCATTGGCTACTGGCCTGACCCAGTAAAGCCAATTCGGTGGCATCGTCATTTCCACATTTGAAGTTTTTTTTTCATCGTCAATTTCAACATTTGAAGATGTAATATAAAAACGGCGATGGGCAGCTGCACGCTGAGTGATATTAAACGTTGATTGTTCAAGGGTTACCGTTACTCTGGGTAATCAGATTACAGTCATGGGTCTCTTCTCAAAACTAAGGAGTCCAAGCACATTGGCGAATGCTTTGATGGACAGAGATTGCTGCGCTGTGAGATTTCCATTACAACCAGAGCTGGAAATCACCAATTGAGGCCATACCCCATGAAATTTTATTTGAAATAAAACTTCAATTTTGAGACGAAATTTCTCGTGTAGATGAAGTTATTTTTCTGCGGCAGTAAATAACGAGGCTTATATTTACAATCGTGCACACGCTGGCCTCTGACGAGCACGGCTCACTAGTTCAACACGTTACATGCGGGGAAGACGGAGGGGAGAACGCTGAACAAAAACAAAACCCCTTACATTTGCAGCGGCTCCCCGTGCGCCTGGAATGATAAGTCATAAACACGCAGGACCCAAGCAGTTGCGGCAGAAGGATTACCGCTCGTTGGATTAACGGCACCGAAAGAGATTGACGTCAGCTGCTATTTCAGGAAAAGCAGCTCAGGTACGGGCGGCTTGATACAATCACGCGGACTCGCGGGATGCGATGGAGGGAGGGCCCACTTGGAAGGCTGGAAACGCACGGTGCCAGCAACCTTGTGTGGGCTGCGCGCACCGACCGCATCTGTCGACCGATATGAGAAAGCGTTAATTTCGCCAATTCACGGCGGGCAAGATTTGTCACGAAAACAAAGCCAGCGTTACTTGAACGCATGAAATGATTCACGAATGTCGGGTGATTTATATATTTTTTTGTTAAATATATGAATGCATTACACGTGACTGCAAGGGAATCCAGTGTAAGCATTCGCCTTGCATATCGATTGTAGTCAATGAGCAACGCTTTGTACAAAGAAAGCGGTGCTTGTCCAATGGAAGGACTCTCCACGCGAAGGTGGAATTTCTGACACCGGCTCAGAGGTGTAAACAGATGAACACCACCCACCGCTTGCCCCGTGTGAGTGGGGAACCGCATTGACTTTGTCGACGATAACTTTGCGTATTGTGTGATTAATGACAATCGTCGTGGTGTGTAGAGGTCACGTTCTACCTTAGCGGGCCTCACCCAAATCCCACTCAGCATTCGTACCGCCCGGCCGTGACGCACACGCCATCTGCTGCTGCTGCTGTGCGTGGTGTGCACGCCTCGTTAGTGGACGTGCGTAGTGTAAGCCACCCCCGGCCTGCGTGCCTTCCGCCTGGCGGGCCCGCAATCACCGGACCACGAGGTGGGCCTCTTGGCCACCGCGTGGACGGACGAGGCAACGGTGTCTGGCCGGGCTCGCCGGTGACACTGAGGGCCACCTGGCATTGGCCAGCTGTCGTACGGGGCACGCGTGATTGGTATATAAATATATAACATCAAAGAAAAAAGACCGCTCAATTTTACTCACGATGGTGCAGTTGTGTTCATAGCGTTTGCTTGTTCAAATATGATCGTGTGAACATTCGCAATGCAGTTCGTATGGGGAATGGGCTGTTGCAGTATGTACCAAAGAGAGGCAACCCAGAGTAAAAACTGATTAGTATTCCCGAAGAGCTCACTTCCGCTTACAAGCATTAATGTATTAGATGAAGCATTCGATACAATGAATGAATGGATCGATGTGTTTATTTATAGTCTGATTATCGGCCATTCAGACGCAACGTCGTGCGGGTGTAACGGAGACTCTGTGTAAACTGTTGCATGAAAATAACCACAATATCACATGCAATCCAATTTAGTTTTCCTTCCTCTTGCTAATCCGTTCAAAATGTCTTTGGTGCGAGTCTCCGGCTACACTCTTAAGGGCAATACAATGCGACTCTGGCAATTGCAGCAGTGCCGGATTAAGCTTCTGCGGGGCCTGTAGCATATGTTTTAAAGGGGCCGTAAGTAAGTAAATAAATAAATATTAAATCACAAATGTTTAACTTGCATAGTAAAGTAATTGTATTTTTTCATTTTCGATACAGCCAGATAATACGACAAATCGCTAACCTTAAACGCCCAGTCGTTCATAAAAGTCGAAGGCGGTATAGTACTACAGTAATAGAGCAAGTGCAGAATCACTGATCCTGGATTGATAGCTTGAAAGCGTTTAGCGCAGGGCTCTTGAAAGTGCGGGGCCCGCAGGATAATCCGGCACTGATTTGCTGACTGATGCCGGTATCGCAATGACGTCCATCCAGTCTTCCAGTCCAGTCCATCGTCAATGTCACATCCATTAATGTCGCATTGGGACACTCCCCTCCTCCCTCCCCCTGCCAACCCCCTCCCCCCTTCATCCCTGGCTGTCCTGTAGGTCCACACCCGAGGCCGGAGCCCCTGGCGGTGCTGGCGGACCCCCGGGGGGGCCGCCCCCCAACCTCACCAGCAACCGGCGGCTGCAGCAGACCCAGGCGCAAGTGGACGAGGTGAGATGATCGGGGCGGTGGCATTCCACGAGCGGCGGTGGCGGCGCAGTCGTCGTGGTGGAATGATTCCTCCTCCCCCAACTGAACTCCCCCGGCGCCCACGGTGACTCACGGAGTTGCCGTCATCAACGAGGCGGTGTTCGCGGTCATGATTGGGTTCGCGAATTGATTCCTGCGTGTGGGGACATCGCTCCACCGACGGACAGAGCGGCACGTGGCTCGAAGATACAAACTTGTATACTCCAGGAAATAAGTGACTTCTGTATTTTTTTTACTCCACTATTTTAATTGAATGAGCCACATTAACAGAAGAGAAGTACTCGTCTACCATATGTGGATCGCACTCGCGAGACGATCCGTTTGTATTCACGTTTGATTTGAAATGTAAAAACGTTCGCATGACATTTTCAGTGCTTGTAGTTTGCAATAAAAACTAAAATTTGTTACATTTTCGATAAAAAAATGTATGCAGCAATTCGAAAAATTATAATGAGCATTAGCCAAATTACGATCTCAACAGACACATCTGCAAAAGATGGGAACATACACTGCATTGCCATTCGAAGGTGATTCAGAAAGTGCGGACTAATCTCCGTCTGTTCCTCCCACATGCAATAAGACTCATTAACTGGCTGAAAACATCTCAATGTATAGAGATAACTGCAGTGCTTGGCCAATTGCTGGTAGCGCCGGCTCTCCCCCTGGCTGCTGCCACCTGTCGTTCCTCGCCGATTATGAGATGCAATTTGCACGAATGCAGCTGCACCATGGAGCTAAAGGTTCACATCAACAAACGGATGGTGTAGGAGACGGGGCTTTGTGAATACCCCCCCCCCCCCCCCCCGTTGAGCCCTGTGCACGTGTGTGTGCGTGCCCCAGGGCAGGTGGTGGACATCATGCGAGTGAACGTGGACAAGGTGCTGGAGCGCGACCAGAAGCTCTCGGAGCTGGACGATCGCGCCGACGCGCTGCAGCAGGGAGCCTCGCAGTTCGAGAGCAGCGCCGCGAAACTGAAGCGCAAGTACTGGTGGAAAAACTGCAAGGTAACGACGGTGCCACCTTTCGTCTGCCGCGTCTCCGGCTCGCAGCTCGCATTGTCCACAGCCCCACCCGCCAAGCTTGGAGTGGCTAGCTTGCCGTGGTACGGTGCGTCGGTCTCGCTCCCTCGTGGCGTTGTCACCGTGTGAGCTCCCTCACTCTCTTCTCTCTTCTTTGGTTCTTTCGGTAAAGTCACGTAGAATGAGAATAAAATAATTAATTGATAAAATAAAATAACACAATAATATTCTCACGACGTTTCGGCCACAACACAAGCGGCCTTCATCAGGTGAAGGGACGAAACTGTCTGGTAGGACAGCGCTGGAGTGAAAGAGCCACGTTCAGATCACGGCCTTTAAGCTGTGTGAGAGGAACAAAGCGCCTTGACAAAAGAATTAGCATATAATTTAGCATTGAAATGGCTGAGTGATTAGCTTGTGACTGGTCACAGAAAAGGCTATGTTAAAAGTTAAAGCATACACATCCGCAGAGGTACCCCTTGTTAAAGGAATTAGCATAGAATTTAGCATTGAAATAGCTAAGTTAAAGCATACACATCCGCAGAGGCACCCCTTGACAATGGAATTAGCATAGAATTTAGCATTGAAATAGCTGAGTGATTAGCTTGTAACTGCTCACAGAAATAGCTACGTTAAAGTCAGAGCATACACTCTCTCACGTGTTCCTCTCTCTCTCTCAAATGCTCGACAAATCGTTTGGTTGCTAGCGCATTGGCAGCGGCGCTACGAGCACGAGTAACAACAAACAGACTCGTCCGTGACATTGTCCTCGGCCGTAAACACGTGTGTCACGGTGAATACGCGTGTCAGGGTAAATACGTGTGTCACGGTAAATACGTGTGTCACGGTGAATACGCGTGTCAGGGTAAATACGTGTGTCACGGTAAATACGTGTGTCACGGTGAATACGCGTGTCAGGGTAAATACGTGTGTCACGGTGAATACGTGTGTCACGGTGAATACGCGTGTCAGGGTAAATACGTGTGTCACGGTAAATACGTGTGTCACGGTAAATACGCGTGTGTCACGGTAAATACGCGTGTCACGGTGAATACGTGTGTCACGGTAAATACGTGTGTCACGGTAAATACGTGTGTCATGGTAAATACGTGTGTCATGGTAAATACGTGTGTCACGGTTAATACGTGTGTCACGGTGAATACGTGTGTCACGGTAAATACGTGTGTCACGGTAAATACGTGTGTCACGGTAAACACGTGTGTCACGGTAAATACGTGTGTCACGGTGAATACGTGTGTCACGGTGAATACGTGTGTCACGGTGAATACGTGTGTCACGGTAAATACGTGTGTCACGGTAAATACGTGTGTCACGGTGAATACGTGTGTCACGGTGAATACGTGTGTCACGGTAAATACGTGTGTCACGGTAAACACGTGTGTGTCACGGTGAATACGTGTGTGTCACGGTGAATACGTGTGTCACGGTGAATACGTGTGTCACGGTAAATACGTGTGTCATGGTAAATACGTGTGTCACGGTGAATACGTGTGTCACGGTGAATACGTGTGTCATGGTAAATACGTGTGTCACGGTGAATACGTGTGTCACGGTAAATACGTGTGTCATGGTAAATACGTGTGTCACGGTGAATACGTGTGTCACGGTAAATACGTGTGTCACGGTGAATACGTGTGTCACGGTAAATACGTGTGTCACGGTGAATACGTGTGTCACGGTGAATACGTGTGTCACGGTAAATACGTGTGTCACGGTGAATACGTGTGTCATGGTGAATACGTGTGTCACGGTAAATACGTGTGTCACGGTAAATACGTGTGTCACGGTGAATACGTGTGTCACGGTAAATACGTGTGTCACGGTAAACACGTGTGTCACAGTGAATACGTGTGTCACGGTAAACACGTGTGTCACGGTAAATACGTGTGTCACGGTGAATACGTGTGTCACGGTGAATACGTGTGTCACGGTAAATACGTGTGTCACGGTAAATACGTGTGTCACGGTAAATACGTGTGTCACGGTAAATATGTGTGTCACGGTAAATACGTGTGTCACGGTGAATACGTGTGTCACGGTAAATACGTGTGTCACGGTAAATACGTGTGTGTCACGGTAAATACGTGTGTCACGGTAAATATGTGTGTCACGGTAAATACGTGTGTCACGGTGAATACGTGTGTCACGGTAAATACGTGTGTCACGGTGAATACGTGTGTCACGGTAAATACGTGTGTCACGGTAAATACGTGTGTCACGGTAAATACGTGTGTCACGGTAAATATGTGTGTCACGGTAAATACGTGTGTCACGGTGAATACGTGTGTCACGGTAAATACGTGTGTCACGGTAAATACGTGTGTCACGGTAAATATGTGTGTCACGGTAAATACGTGTGTCACAGTGAATACGTGTGTCACGGTAAACACGTGTGTCACGGTAAATACGTGTGTCACGGTAAATACGTGTGTCACGGTAAATACGTGTGTCACGGTAAATACGCGCGTCACGGTAATACGTGTCTCACGGTAAATACGTGTGTCACGGTAAATACGTGTGTCAGGGTAAATACGTGTGTCACGGTGAATACACGTGTCATGGTGAATACGTGTGTCACGGTGAATACGTGTCTCACGGTAAATACGTGTGTCACGGTGAATACGTGTGTCACGGTAAATACGTGTGTCACGGTAAATACGTGTGTCACGGTGAATACGTGTGTCACGGTAAATACGTGTGTCATGGTAAATACGTGTGTCACGGTGAATACGTGTGTCACGGTAAATACGTGTGTCACGGTGAATACGTGTGTCACGGTAAACACGTGTGTCACGGTAAATACGTGTGTCACGGTGAATACGTGTGTCACGGTGAATACGTGTGTCACGGTAAATACGTGTGTCACGGTGAATACGTGTGTCATGGTGAATACGTGTGTCACGGTAAATACGTGTGTCACGGTGAATACGTGTGTCACGGTAAATACGTGTGTCACGGTAAACACGTGTGTCACAGTGAATACGTGTGTCACGGTAAACACGTGTGTCACGGTAAATACGTGTGTCACGGTAAATACGTGTGTCACGGTGAATACGTGTGTCACGGTGAATACGTGTGTCACGGTGAATACGTGTGTCACGGTAAATACGTGTGTCACGGTAAATACGTGTGTCACGGTAAATACGTGTGTCACGGTGAATACGTGTGTCACGGTAAATACGTGTGTCACGGTAAATACGTGTGTGTCACGGTAAATACGTGTGTCACGGTAAATATGTGTGTCACGGTAAATACGTGTGTCACGGTGAATACGTGTGTCACGGTAAATACGTGTGTCACGGTGAATACGTGTGTCACGGTAAATACGTGTGTCACGGTAAATACGTGTGTCACGGTAAATACGTGTGTCACGGTAAATATGTGTGTCACGGTAAATACGTGTGTCACGGTGAATACGTGTGTCACGGTAAATACGTGTGTCACGGTAAATACGTGTGTGTCACGGTAAATACGTGTGTCACGGTAAATATGTGTGTCACGGTAAATACGTGTGTCACAGTGAATACGTGTGTCACGGTAAACACGTGTGTCACGGTAAATACGTGTGTCACGGTAAATACGTGTGTCACGGTAAATACGTGTGTCACGGTAAATACGCGCGTCACGGTAATACGTGTCTCACGGTAAATACGTGTGTCACGGTAAATACGTGTGTCAGGGTAAATACGTGTGTCACGGTGAATACACGTGTCATGGTGAATACGTGTGTCACGGTGAATACGTGTGTCACGGTGAATACGTGTGTCACGGTAAATACGTGTGTCACGGTAAATACGTGTGTCACGGTGAATACGTGTGTCACGGTAAATACGTGTGTCACGGTGAATACGTGTGTCACGGTAAACACGTGTGTCACGGTAAATACGTGTGTCACGGTGAATACGTGTGTCACGGTGAATACGTGTGTCACGGTGAATACGTGTGTCACGGTGAATACGTGTGTCACGGTAAATACGTGTGTCACGGTAAATACGTGTGTCACGGTGAATACGTGTGTCACGGTAAATACGTGTGTCACGGTAAACACGTGTGTCACAGTGAATACGTGTGTCACGGTAAACACGTGTGTCACGGTAAATACGTGTGTCACGGTGAATACGTGTGTCACGGTGAATACGTGTGTCACGGTAAATACGTGTGTCACGGTAAATACGTGTGTCACGGTAAATATGTGTGTCACGGTAAATACGTGTGTCACGGTGAATACGTGTGTCACGGTAAATACGTGTGTCACGGTAAATACGTGTGTGTCACGGTAAATACGTGTGTCACGGTAAATATGTGTGTCACGGTAAATACGTGTGTCACGGTGAATACGTGTGTCACGGTAAATACGTGTGTCACGGTGAATACGTGTGTCACGGTAAATACGTGTGTCACGGTAAATACGTGTGTCACGGTAAATACGTGTGTCACGGTAAATATGTGTGTCACGGTAAATACGTGTGTCACGGTGAATACGTGTGTCACGGTAAATACGTGTGTCACGGTAAATACGTGTGTGTCACGGTAAATACGTGTGTCACGGTAAATATGTGTGTCACGGTAAATACGTGTGTCACAGTGAATACGTGTGTCACGGTAAACACGTGTGTCACGGTAAATACGTGTGTCACGGTAAATACGTGTGTCACGGTAAATACGTGTGTCACGGTAAATACGCGCGTCACGGTAATACGTGTCTCACGGTAAATACGTGTGTCACAGTAAATACGTGTGTCACGGTAAATACGTGTGTCACGGTGAATACGTGTCTCACGGTAAATACGTGTGTCATGGTAAATACGTGTGTCACGGTGAATACGTGTGTCACGGTAAATACGTGTGTCACGGTAAATACGTGTGTCACGGTGAATACGTGTGTCACGGTAAATACGTGTGTCACGGTAAATACGTGTGTCACGGTGAATACGTGTGTCACGGTGAATACGTGTGTCACGGTGAATACGTGTGTCACGGTAAATACGCGCGTCACGGTAATACGTGTCTCACGGTAAATACGTGTGTCACGGTGAATACGTGTGTCACGGTAAATACGTGTGTCACGGTGAATACGTGTGTCACGGTGAATACGTGTGTCACGGTGAATACGTGTGTCACGGTAAATACGTGTGTCACGGTAAATACGTGTGTCACAGGTGATGGCATTTTGGGCAATTGCATGACGTCATTGCACAGAAGGAAGGTTGCTTGAAAATGCCACCTTTTTGAATGTCATAATAATAATTAACATTTATAAACTGCCCTTAAGCAATCGTTCTCAGGGCTCAGATACCGTATCACAGCACGCCGAGCTCACCAGCGGTTACAATAAGGAACGGGCATTTGAATTGCTGTGTCACGTGAGTTGCCGTCGGCGTGCCGTGGGAGACAGATGCATGGGTCTCTCTGCGTTCTCTCCGTTTCCCCTGGCAGATGATGATCATTCTCGGCGTGATCTGCGCTCTGGTCGTTCTCGTCATCATACGTGAGTACCCAGAGTCACGATTCCCTCCTGGGCTTTGCCGTGCCCCTTAAGAGCAAGGGATCGGTGAACCTTTCAAAGACAAAGAGGAGGCATTTTTCGTTTTTGGCTTTGGCCAACATTTTTTCTCCCGAGAGCCGCATCACGCGCAGGGACAGCAGCTTGTGCACAGACACAGCAGCAGATGTACAGCAGTTTGACTCTTGTTGACGTTTCCTTGTCACCGAGACGATCACGGATTCCGCAGCCAAAGAACCACATGGGGGGCAGAGAAAGAATCACATGGGGGGGGGGCAGAGAAAGAATCACATGGGGGGGCAGACAAAGAGTCACACGGGGGGCAGACAAAGAGTCACACGCGGGGCAGACCGCATGGGGATCCCGAACTGCAGGTTGCCGACCCCTGTTTTCGAGGGACAGCGCTGATGTGAACTGCATCCAAAGTCCTACCCTCTTCATGTACTTTAGAGGACCCGTGTACGGGCCCCGTTACACGGGCCTACAATTCCCTTCCCGTCGATGTACGCACTCACCGAGCTCGCGTGGCAGCTGTGCATCGCCGTCCAGGAGCTGGGTGGTTGTTTGGCAGCGTGGCCTTGGGGGACATGTCCAGAGCTGTGCTACTAACTTAGCAAAGACGAGTACAAGATGCGTTTAGGATGCTCAGGATGCAGCGTTAATTGCTGAGGTGGCTCGGAGAGCCAGACTGACACCCCTGTGATTCCTCAAGTGCTCACGGCTCAAAGGCACCAGGATACGTCTCGATTCTACCGCTGCTTCAGTGTAAATGCCTGGGACTCAGGAGGCCTACTTTAAGGGTGGCATAGCCACGGCTAACCAGCTTTATCACCAAAAAATAGGAAAAATAAATTTTGGTTCACATATTTAAGGTAGAAATTTGGAGATTGAATTGCTTGTAGAAAACCAGAGCGGTGACTTGTTAAGTACCGTTCTGCCTTTCTCTTGTCGACGATCGATGTCTGTGAGGGCTCAAGTTGGGAAACAGCAGGGAGCGGTAGTGCCGTGGCCTCCTGCGGTGGATACTACGAGATGTGAGCACCCGTGGGAGGATGGGGGCGGGATGGTGATGATGATCCAAGCTATTGCGGCAATATGGTCATGGTTTGACATCTTGCCGGCATGGCCTGTGTGTGTCCAAGCCGCGATGAGTACGCATTGTGCACGCTGTCGTCTGCCGCCCTTTCGTGCAGGTTTCTGCTCTCATTGGTTGGGTACAATGACGTGTTTGTGATTTCAATTTGAAAGTGACGTATATAGGTGTACGTCACTTTCAAATGTTGTGGGGGGAAATGTGCATTTAATTTCAGGTTAATATCTCTTTTTTAACAAGTGACGTGTTGCGTACAAAAGAGGGTTGTCTTGGGAACAATTAGAAATCTGATGAGCGCAGCGTTGAGCCAGAGAGGGCAGTGCGGTTTCATGCGTGCGGACTAACACACAGGCGCATCATTAAAGCAGTGGTGACTCTACATCGGGTGGCCTTTGGGCATCATCCAAATGGCTCTTGCGTGCTCACCTCCATTGACAACCCTAAGCAATCATGGAAATTCCACACACCTGTGGTACGGGCCGATAGTTCCGTAAAACAAACCACACTTTATTTCCCACAAAGCGGTACTTCATGTGTTAACCCTGTAGTGATGATGGGCTGGATTGAGTGGTGAGACTTGATTTGAAGCTTTCGTGACTGCAGGAATTACTCTTTGTTTTTTTTTCCGGTAAAGTCACGTATAAATAAGAAATAATAAAATAACATAATAGCGTACGACGTTTCGGTTGCAACACAAGCAGCCATCATCAGGTACAGAAGAGCTAAATTTACGAGAGAGAGGAAACACATAACCCCAGATGTATATACAGCCAACCAAGAAGGGGGGAACTAACACAGATACAACAGGGGACACAGAGAGAGAATCACACCAAACAAACAGGGTTTAGCAAAATTTGGAAACCATATAAAGCAACACAGACGGTCGGTCAAAACACAATTAACGCATAGTCTGGTTGATTACGCTATTTCAAAGATTGCTAAATTGCAAGTTAAGTATGAAATTTAAAATACAGACCGCGCACACACACATAGACATCCATTGAGTGGTGTGTGTGTGTGTGACAGCACTGATAATTTTTTTTTTAAGTCGTGGCCACTTGTCTGTCCGTCCCTCCCAGCCGCCAGAAGGGCCTTGTGCTCTCTCCTTGTCCTCTATACTCACTCTGTCTCTATTTATATCTGATTCTTTATTCCTCTGCCCCTCTTTTGCCTCTTCCCTCCCTCTACATTCCTCCCCTGCATCCACTCTTTCTCACCTGCCTCCCTGCCCCTATCACTCTCCCCGTGTCTCTCCCTCACCTCTCACCCTCACTTTCTTTAATCACAGCTCTCCATTTCCCGTCTCAAATGTCTCTTGCCTCTCCATGGTCCTCCCTCTCGCTGCGTGTCGCTCTCCATCGCTCTTCTCTGTCCACTTCACGATCTCGTTTTACTCTCGAGTTCACGCCCTTCCACTCTCTCCCCACCCTCTCCTTTCTGTTCCTCTCTTTGTCTCCCCCCTCCCTCCTCTGGCGAGATGTTAACAACCTCCCCTCGTGTTCAGGAGTTCGAGGGTGCGATCCCGACCCTGACGCCTGCTGTATATTTGGAGTTTTCTTGCTTTCCCCGTGGATTTTTCCCCTAGTTCTCCACGGGGTTTTCCCTCCACATTTAGAAACGTGCATTGAGAGTATTTGGCTGCTGTACATTTCGACATGATAAGCCACTTCGTTGAACTATCATGTGCGACAGTGAGGTCGCTTCTGGACCTTACCGAGTAAAATAAAGCATAGTTGATAGTGTTATCATTTAACACGTAGGCTTTCGCGACCAATATAAACCATAATAGAGGGGATTTTTTTTTGGGTTAGATCGCGTAAATATATAAATGTGTCGTTAAAGCCCGCCATCACCCGACACAGTCAACTAGTGAAGGTTGTCACGTCAACAGAACGTGGCCAATTCGTCACCAGTACAGCAGCACCGCTGTGTTGGAGAGCCAAGGCACAACGTTTACAATCTGAGTACGAAGTTTCGCCAGTAATTACAACTAGCTTCATCAGGCGACAGCCAGATTTGTGGCGAAGGCCACCTGTTTCGTGCCTTACATATAGATATTTGTATAGTTTAGAGTTTATCGCCCTCCTCTATCTCATCTATCGCATTTCCGCGGATTCCACGGCCGGGGTGGGGTTGGGGGTGCGTGGGGGGTAGCGCACGACATTAGTGCGATGCACGACAGCGGGCGACGCCGTCGCGAAGACGCGCGCGGCGGCGTCGCCACCACTTCTGTGCCAGCCAGCCGGGACAGATAGGAATCCAGGCAGGAAGCCAGCCAGCCAGCCAGCAAAACTTGATTTTTTAATTCTTTCTCCCTCTATGGTAAAGTATGAGAAACAAGATGACAGCACGTGCCAGTGGCGTAGAGAGAGCTCCGGCTCAACCGAGGGGCGGGGAGATGATGGCACGTCTCACGTTCCGTGCCTTTCTTTAGAATGGCTCTTACGTAACGCCGATAATTCACTGCTCGCGTTCCACAGGTTGACACGAGATAATGCCTTATGCCCAAAGACCCTTGTAGATAATATGCTCACATTTATTTTAGCACTCTCACCGTCATGAATTTAGACTGCAGACTGGGCTCATTGATATAAATATATTTTTTAAAAAACATGAATATGTTTATATTAAAAACGCGTTTTTCTTTCATGCTCACGCGAGTCAAAAATAAATACCGTCGTCTTGAAATAATTTAACATCATTTTTTTAAATAATATAATACATTAATAGGAAGTATATGTGCCGCTCGAACAATAATTTCAAGCACTTTTATTTATTATTTTCAGTCAAGTTCAAAGTTAATCCACAAGTGCCTGCGGAAAGTAAGAGTTAATGAATTACGTTCATTTGTCAACCTGGTGAGGAAGCCACTTACCTGGTCACCCAGGTGCATTCATGGTAAAGCATAACTCAACCATGGCTTACAGCATTTGACCTCTGCTCTCGAGCCAAGCCTCCAATACTTCGCGTCAAAGGGAATTTCTCAGCTGGCAGGTTCCTTGACAATGCGTAAATCGCCGTCACTTGGTCCAGGCATCGATGCTGTCCTTGACTACAAAGTGCCAGCGACAAAGACCGAATCAAGAACGTTGCGCTATCATCCCCGCTGCAATTCACTGCGAACTGGCACACACCCAAATATCCAACGCTTGCACCGCGTGCCATTTTCATCCCCCCTTCCCACTCGCTTGTGGCAGGCCCAAGAGTTGTGTCGTTCGCGGAATGTTAGAGATATTGCGGGCACTGCTTGCTCTTGGCTGGACGACAAAGGGCACTCTCTGTGTGGCTTTACATTTCACGGGGTTGTAAGCGGTCATGGGGAAATACACGTGTGGGTGAGACTTATGAGAGGATAGTGGGAGAGTGATAAGAAGGGCTTGCGTTGATAGAAGTGGAGGGACCCATGGGCTGCACGGCAATTTTATGGGATTAAGACTCTAGCTTAAAATTCACTTGTGTACATCTCATGCTCAGATGTGTTTCAAGGACAGAGGGGAATTCATCTTATAGCCCTGGAACTCGTTATATGTGTCAGAGATTGATCAACTGAGCACACTTGTACATGGACGGGAGGAGTTGTTTATAAATTTAATCCCGAACTTGGGTTTCCAACATTCCAGGTGATTATCTTCTTGTGACACGCAATCCCTGCGTACGTTACGAACAATTGAAAACTCATTGGGCCGGTAGACGCGAGGGCGTCCGCCAATTGTCCCAGCGATGGGAGGCGTGAAATTGCGGCAAAACTTTCTTCGGCCTTTGCGCAAACGTTGTACCCATTGGTTTTTTTCTTTTTTACGAATCGTTCGGGCATCATTCTGCCAGAGTATCACGAACCACCAACGTGTGGACGCGTTGGTATTATCTCCCGAAGTCTCCGGGGAATGATTGACCGCTTGAATGAGTCGCTTGTGCATTAGCATTCATCTTATGCTGCAACGCCTGCCGGTTATTAAGCCCGCAACTTGAAATGTCCAAATCTGGCTGTCGCCTGATGAAGCTAGTTGTAATTACTGGCGAAACGTCGTAATGTTGTGGCTTGGCTTTCCAACACACCGGTGTGCTGTACCAGTGACGAATTGGCCACGTTTTGTTTACGTGACAACCCTTACTAGTTTGCTGTGTCGGGCTGTGGCGGGTTTTAACGACACATTTATATATTTATGCGATCTAACCCAAAAATCTCTATTATGGATGATATTGGTCGCGAAAACCTACGTGTTAAGCTAACATGAAATGTGTTTATCCTTGTATTGCATTGAATACAAATTCTAACGTGTTGTTTTTTCTGCCCTCTTTTCTCCCCCCCTCCCCCACTTCCTACAGTTTATTTCTGTCTGTGATTGTCCGAGCCCAACTGGATAAAAGCAGCGCAAGCTAAATGAGATCTCTTCCATAAAATAACCACCTTGTTCCCTCCCCTTCCTCACCCCTTGTCCCCCTTCTGCTCTCCATCCGGTACCTCCCCAGCTTTCTCTTCTTGGGCTTGTGAATGTGATGACCCTTAACCCACCTCCCGGTTCCCAGCATCCCCCTCTCTGTAATGTACCCAAAGCAGTATTGTAGTGTTGAAAACAATAAGCTCCCAGAAAAAAAACTCTCTCATGTTAGGAAGTGATCACTGTTCATACCTCTGCAAACCAGCAAGGATGTCCAAAGTCGATCTGGCAGTATACTTTATGAATAGACGCACTGCATTTAGAAATTATTTATGACCTTTTGTGATCCTGTCCCACTCACAGTGCTGGCTGCCCAAGAGAATTTGTTTACTCTTAGACTTTAACTGGCTGCCTGCAAACGTAACTCTTTGTGTCTTTTAAAGGTTTGGAATCAATAAAAAAACTATGATATTCATTATGTAGAGGACAAACACAAGTAATGTATATTGACACGGTTAGACATTTTTTTCACAATTAATATATATAGCCACCACTCCTGAAAGTCGAACGGCTAAGTGATTCTTTTCGACCGGTAATCGCGATGTGATTCCTTGGGCATCACATTCTCCCGGATGTTAATTTACTGCAAACACGGTATGGTTTTTTTCTTCTTATTATATATTTTTTTGGGGATCAAACTACATTCTCTGATGCATGCTTTTATTCAAGACGGCAGTAATTCTCACCTCTCGGTTGTGATATGTACGCAAACAAAACGAGAGTCTTCAGTAAATTCTTGCGCAGATTGTGTTTTTTTTTGGGGGGGGGGGGGGGGTGGGGGTGGTGGGGGGTGGTGGGGGACACACCTATTTGAGAGCTTGAGCGACGAGAGATGCCGCGTGGGCTGTGTGTGGCATTGGCGCCGGAAGGGGCTCTAAGGCATCCGTCGTCTGGGGCAGCGCGCGGTTGTGGCTTCGGCTGCTCGCTGTGGCTGCTACGCTCGAGAACGTCCTTCGCAGAGACACTCACGCAGGCACCTCTCCGTCGCGCGCCGTCATAGCCCTTGAGCGGGAACATTTTGAACCGTTCTGAAGATTTAAACAAAAAATCCTCCGCACGCTATTGCAAATACGCAAGTCGGAAACAACGATATTCTGTCTAAAGTAATATTCGCTGATCGGCGAAGAGCAGACCGTCAGCAGACGTGCAGATGTGACCCCCCCCACATACCCCACGTATCGTTTACCCCCCCCCCCCCCCCCCCGCTGAAAACGACATAATTGTGCAATTGGTCTCACCTGGATACGGTATACTGCAAACAGACTCGGTGTCCATATTGTAACGTGCAACGTAAGTAGCTGTTGTGTTGTCTGTGCCGTGGGGTGTTCTCTCCGTGTGCCACGGTGCACACGACGTCGCGAAGGGCTCTGGGATGAACACGCTGAGCTTTTGCGCGCTGCCCGTGGTTTCAAAATTGTGAGTTAATTGATTTAAAAAAAAATTGAAATGTGTTTCTGACGTCTAGATGAGTTCTAAAGAGCAATATACTGTGAGCATGTAATCGAGGTTACACGAGTCCCTTGGTGGAAAACAGATTCAAGTTGGCCGTATTTCCCACCGTTTGCTGGTTTGTCCCCGATGGCTGAACACCGCGCAGACTCCAACAATCTGGCCAAGACGTTGATGAACGTTCGTCGTCTGAGTGTGCATGCCATGTCCATCACTGCTGTTTTGAATAAAGGTCAAACAAACGTGTGTGCTTTTTTTAAACGGTTGACTGCAAAGTTTAATTTCGCCTACAGTGCTGTTCGTATCGAAAGTATGTGTTTGACTATCAGATATTATATTGCATATCGCTTGAAATATCCTGTTGGCTGTTGGGGGGGGGGGGGTGGGTGGCATGTACGTCTGTGAGAAATTTGTAGCTCAGAGAAAACAAAAAAACTCCATCGTGATACAAATGGTGTCTGTGTAACCACTCATGTTCTACCACTGCAGGACAACACTTTATTCAGCTGTGCTTTATGGTGCAGAAGCGGAGAAAGATAATTTACTCGTTACGTGGAAATGTAGAGGTTCGCAGAAAAAAAAGAGAGATGTACCGTTGTGTGGTTTATTTTAAGAACCATATTCATGTCTCTTGTAGTACTGTATAAAGAATAACACTAAAAAAAAATCATGCCATTTGCTCTCGCGACAAACAGACACGCTTACAACAAATCACTGCATTTCATCCTTCGTTCAATTTGCGGACGCCAGTTACTGCAATGCCGAATAGTGATTCTGCAACACCCTGCAGATATTAGGGGGGGGAGGGGAGGGGGGTGGCGGTGGTTCGGCATTTGCGGAGAGCTGTGCTGCCCCCTCAGATCTGCCTCCCATTCGCTGCCCCTCGCCTGCCCTGCCACCTCATGGCCGGGGAACCCGAGAGAAGCCGCCCGCATCGCCGCCCATTCATTGCCGCCTTGCCGCCTCGTTGCGCATCGTCGTAATTGTGTTTCTCTCTCTCTCTCCCTCCCTCCCGCTTGACACGCGCGCCGCGTTCCGAAAGACGTGTCCACATTTATGAAGCCGACGCGCCTTCCGCGGCGCGTACATTTGCACCGCGGATCTGGCGCAAGCATTTCGAATTGCCCTCGTTTAGTCTCATTTGGTTGCTGTTGTCACCTTCGTAGTAGCAGTGGTAGTAGTAATAATAATAATAACGATGCATTATGCAGAGGCCTGCCATGGAGCAGAGGACTAAAGAGGTCGCGATTGTGGAGTGATGTCAGGGAGAGCGACCGGGTGATACTTTTCCCAAGGCACTGCTGCTCATTTACTCCGGGGAGTGCGGCATTGCTTTCCCTCCTGCCCCTCCTCCCCCCCTTCAGATGCAGTTTTCTCCGTGACGTATGTAACCGTCCATAATATAGGGGGGGTTGGATTAGGTCGCGTAAATATTAATGTGTCGTTAAACCCGCCACCACCCGACAGAGCCAATGAATAAGGTTTGTTCCGTAAACAGAACGTGGCCAATTTGTTACTAGTACAGCACACCGGTGTGTTGGAGAGCAAATCCACAATATTCACAATCTGAGTACGACGTTTCGCCAGGAATTACAACTAGCATTATCAGGCGGACATCCAGATTTGTGGAGAGATCCTCCTGTTTGGCTATGTCGGGTGGTGGCCGGTTTAACGACGCATTTATTTTTACGCGATCTAACCCAAAAAAACTATTACGGATGATATTGTTCCCGAAAGCCTACGTGTATGTAACTGTATTGGAATATGGCATGTGATGTGAGACGTGTGTGTGTGTGTGTATTATTGTCCAGTGTTGGATTCGCCCTTGACCGTCTCTTTCTGACCATTGTTACACGGTTTCAGGGGCTGGTGGTTAGCCACACGGGGCCACTGAGCTGGTTTGCATGTAAATGCAACGGGATTGACCAAAGCGTACCGTTTGTTATTAAGTGAATGCTAAACACCCAGTGTCCCACCTCCAAATCGTGCATAATTATCATCCGCTTCATGAGAAACAATGTCACCTGCCCGCAACGTGACTACTGTTTTAAAGATATCGAGATCCCTAAGGCGATACGATACGAGCCTCAACTGGAGGGCTCACTCTCGATCATGAGGACAGGTCATCGGTTCCTGAGCACATTATTTTCCCTCTGCAAAAAAAAAAAAATCACCGCCCGTGGACATGGCCCACCATACTCTTTGGTTCTATTCTGTTCAGTCACGTAGGTAAAAAAAATAAACAAAAATCACGACGTTTCGACCACAACACAAGTGGCCTTCATCAGGTGAAGGGACCAACCTGTCCATAGGACAGCGCTGTCCTCTGGACAGTTTGGTCCCTTCACCTGATGAAGGCCACTTGTGTTGTGGCCGAAACTTCGTGATTTTCTTTTCTTTTTTATTACCTACGTGACTTTACCGGATAGAACCAAAGAGCATGGATGCTTGCAGTCACGAAAGCTTCAAATCTAGAATGGCCCACCTTGCTTGGGGGCATCGTCCCCTTGGGCGTGCGGCTCCAATTCACGACGACCGGTAGCCGTGTCGCAGCACTAGAGGCCGCTGCGAAGGACCCTGCGCGCACGGGCACTGGAGTGCAAAATGTAATCGCACGACGGCCGAGAGCCGGAACCGTTTCCGCGGCTTCTTCTCGTCCCGTGCCGCCCCGCTGGTCATGCGCGTCGCAACGTTGAGTTTCCTGCGGTATAATCTGTTCACGGGGGGGGTGGGGGGTGGGAGGTGTTGCTCAGCTGCGCACACTCCAATAAGATTTGGAACGATCGACACCGTGGGTGATTGGCGGGCGGCGGCGTCAGCGTTGCAGTTCTGTAATAGTTTAGAGAGAGGGAGGGAGGAAGGGAGGCCCCTCGGAGTGAGCGTTGTTTATCGGTCATGATCCATTTCCTCGTTCCGAGTCGCCCAACCTCCACCCCCCCCCCCCAGAAGAGATGGGCAGCCGTGAGCTTCCCTCCAATCGGAATGGTTACAACGGTGGCGAATATGTTTTCCCCCATTACGATGCATGGTTGTGGTGAGATAATTTCGAGGTTTTTTTGGTTTGTGTTCAAATGAGCCCATAACGCATACCTAAATGGCTCAATGTACTCATAGCTGAATGTGTTATTTGCTTCATGCTGTGTATCTATGGAGGCGATGTTATCGGTTGATCGGCAGGCCTAGAGGTGAGGGGAGGGGGGATTGCCACTGACAGACGGTGACATGTCGTGCTCCGGCCTCAGAGAGACACCCCAGGGGTTGATGCGAGGGTTTGATGAGGCCAGGAGGCCGACGATGTCCCGACTGCCATCAACAGCCTTGCACGCGGGAACGGTGACTAATACGTCGATGGCATCGTGAAGCAATTGAAACGTGCATTGTATTTATAAAAAAAAACACCAACACCAACAACAACTTGTTGCTCTATAGCAATGGCTTGTCATGATGTTTAATAAATGTGTTCTCGTCGCAGTGGTGTGCGTCTTGCTACCGATGGCAAGGAAAGGTTTTGCATCTTTATGACATTCCCCAGGCCCACAGTTGCTGCCCGAGTGATTGTGTCAGTCGCGTCGGGTGTGTGTCTTGGGATGCTTTTGGTCAACCCATGTCACGCATTTACTTATTTCCTGTCTTTGTGTTGCTGCTGCTGCTGCTGCCGCTGCCATCATGAAAAGTGCTTGCTCAGTAAAACCTCCTCGTCCTGTGTATTAATTTGTGGATTTCTGTGCCCTGATCGTTTCCTTCGTTTGCGTTCACCCAACCGCTTGCCTCGTGCGACCTTTACATCGCGATGACGCAACACTGCCCTCGTGTCTAACGTTGAGTCAGCACGTGCAACATCTGCGAAAACCGGCAAAATTGGGAAAAAAGGACATTTTTCAAAAATTTTACGCTGCCGAAAAAAAAACCCTCACTACGATCCTATACATTCCCACCGAAATAAATTGTTATTGTTCACGTCCACGTACTAAGTGTGGCAAATATCCAAGAATGATTCAGGGTCACATCGACGTGACAGCGAAATTGGGCCCCGACAGTTCAAACAGTGGTTAAAAGCTGACAAGTCTCACTGGAAGATTGCAATGTCACGTGGCGATGCTGGGAACGGGCCCTGTTAAGCAGCAAACACAACCACGGCCTCAAGAATGCCGCTCAAACAATGAATACCCAACGCTGATGGATTCGGTATGTATGTTGAACTTCTTTCGCACCGTACGTAGCCAACTGTGCTAATCGGAGGTGCGTTTAGCAAGGTGCATTTCCCCCAGCGGTAACGTTAACTATGATTACTTAGAAAACTCAAAAGTTCGGAAAAACTTCATATCTATGTCTCTGGTATGAAAACAATACCCATTCAAATCAAAGGAACATGGTATCTCTGCTTAATGGGTGTTAGGAGTTTGCAGGTAGCTTATCTCCAGATTATAAGACGCTTCGGAAAGTGCGCCCCAAAACTTTTGCTCAGTATCGATACAGTTACATAAACCTTGTCATACATACAAAGACAAAGAGCCTCTGTTTGGCAGCCTGAGCAGACTATTGGGCAACGTGATCACATTTGAAGGCCGGCACAGCACAGAAGGTAAACTAAACTGTAAACGAATCTAGAATTGAAGCTTTCGTGACTGCAGAAATTACTATACTCATTGTTTTTTTTCGGTAAAGTCACGTATGTGGAAATAAAATAAAATTTTAATAAATAAAATTAGATTAAAATAAATCACGACGTTTCGAACGTAACACAAGCGCTCATCATGCGGTGTGAATGGGGTAAAACACAGTAGCAAGGGAACACACAGAGGGACACCACGCACATTGCACATAGAAAACGCCAAACTACACGGAGGCAAATACCTCGTGATTTATTTTAATCTAATTTTATTAATTTAAATTTTATTTTATTTCCACATACGTGACTTTACCGAAAAAAACAACGAGTATAAACTGTAAACTATTTTTTATTTTGCGATGAAAGGCTCGCTGAGCTATGTCGCTCTTTTTTCAGAAACAACCTGGCCACAAATGGTAGCTCAACGAAGTGGCTTATCATGTGCAAATTTATAGCAGCCACATACTCTAAACGCGTGATGTTGATTCCAAATGTGGAGGCAAAAACCGGAGGACCCGGAGAGAAATCCACAACAACGGGGAAAACGTGCAAACTTCAAATATACAGCAGGTGTCTGGGTCGGGATCGAACCCACAAACCCATGACCTAGCGAGGTAGTTAACATCTTGCCACTGCGGTTGTGGGTGGACAAAACTACACTCCGCCGCCTTTGTCTCTCTAGTGGCAATGTTTACACACTGTACCAGGTACTCATTTGAGGCTGAGTCGACCTAGGGGAGGCCCAGGACCGGTTTAGATAATCGTCAATGGTGTTGGTGGCCGTGAGCAGGAATCGAACTTGGGCAGGCAGGGTTCGTAGCACAGCGTGCTAACCACTGCGCCACCCCTCCGCACACACAACACACACAACACACACACACAACACACACACACAACACACCACACACAAACAACACACACAACACACACAAACAACACACACACCACACACAAACAACACACACACAACACACACAACACACCACACACAAACAACACTCACACAACACACACAAACAACACACACACAACACACACACAACACAAAAACACCACACACAAACCACACACAACACAC